AATAATTATTATTTATATATGATAATTAAAAACTGAGCTATACGATCACATGCTCAATACAAACTGCTTGTATCTGTACAAGAGTTATTCGCAAGAGCCAGAAATAACAGTGCATTTACGTACAGCAAGTGATTATTGTCTACGGATAACTACAGTGACTACAAGACGGAAAAAAACGTTCCGGTTTTTTTCTTTGGTACGAAACGTTCCATATATATAAATACAGGCAGGATAGTAAACTTGTATTTAATATCGTATTTTCTACAAAATGGGAGCCGTAGTATCCCAATACGAGGAAGGACAAAACCAAGGAGGCAGTGCACTCCAGCAACAGCAGAAGTGTACTTAAGTGCCGAAAGACAAAAGCTGAACTGGAAAGTTTCCGCGCACCGGTAGGTTTAAAAAAGTGGTGATGTTAGCTTTGTTATTAACTATCAAGAGCGCCATAAACTGCACGTGGGAAAATACTGATGCAGATATTGTGAGAAAATGGCTATCGTGTTTTTCATAACGTAGATTCTGAAACTTCGAGACAAAATGCTAACAATATGAAGTGTAACACAGGTTTTCTTTTTAAGCACAAGTATGCGTACGGTAGATGCATACTTGTGCAACTGTATTGCGGTGCAACTGTATTGCGGTGACTCTCGGAACGCTACATCTCAGCATACCGCTACATCTCAGCTCTCACCCGGCTGATCCGAAAAGGCTGCGTTTTGAAAGAAGCTTGCGAATATACAAAGTACGTAGCAGGCGTTTAGCACATCAGCACCAACAGATTTGATGTACAATAACCGCTAAAAGCGCGTGTAGAGCGAAGGGTAGCTGGCCTGCCCTTCTCTGTGACTTTTTTGAAAGGGAGAAGGGAGCTGCAGGACACCTGCCCTTCCCTGTGTCTTTTTTGAAAGGGAGCAGGGAGCTGCAGGACACGAATACCTACCGGTTGAAAAAGGCGATTTGGACCGTGCTGCAGGATCGTCGCAGAAGACGGTTTGCAGGGAGGAATGGGTCTGATTCAGACCGCTTGCCATTTTTATGGCTTTTGGACCGTTCTGCGAGGCTGCGATGTAGCGATTTGAGAGTCACCGCAATACAGTTAATAACATGACTGAGAAATCATCTCAACAATAACAACAAACAGAGAAATAACAACACTGCCTGCATGGCGGCCGTTCCGGCTGTGGTGGAAGTGTCCTTGACATGCAAAAGCGCAACAGTGTCTACACAGTACACAGGTCACGTCCCAAGCGAGGCATAATCCGCGTTTCCATGCAAAAGTCGTGCAGCCATCAAGGCGGCGTTCATTGGTGTGAGACGTGCCCCGCTGCTCCAGTTTCGCAGGCACACCGGCGGATACAAAGGCTTTGCGGACAATGCTGTTGAACGCGCCGTGACGCGGATGCCGCCCGGCTGAAAAGGTACATGACAGCCCGTGGTGCCCGTAACCACCAACAGGTTTGTGGCACTTGGCGCAGTCGTGGGGTTAACAGATCGTAGCACCGAGACGGGGGCCGATGCCGATCTTCAGCTCGATGCCGCCGATGCTGATCTTCAGCTCGTCGTCGCGCTAGTATATTACCGATGTGAGCGGACGGCAAGGCGTTCGAACAGATGCCGGCCTGGACTGGGCAAGCAGGCGCGCTGTGTTGACTTCCTCCAGAAGACAAATGCTCCAGGTTTTATCGCTTGCCATGCCACTGGCAAAGCTATTTGGCAGGCACCAGTGCCAGGTTTTACACCCTGCCCCTTAGGCAGTTGAAGAATTCTAACAAACAAATTCAAACCATAAGACTCTATAAAACAGCTTATAGGCTAAGACGCCGTCATGGATGCGGCATTTTAGCAGTGATGAGGAAACGTCGGAGGCTGGGCCACTTCAGCCGCTTGGGGTGAGTGCGACAACACCGCCGCTGGCTAGGGCGACCCACTCCCTGACAGCGGACTACCCTAACGTGTCTGATGGGGAGGCCGAGAACCAGGATGTAGGCCGACCGACCCTTGTCGTAGTTAGTATTCATATAACTACTCCTACTCGAGTATCTGCTTCGCCAGTAAAATATACAGTAGTAACGCATTCTCCATGCATAACGTTGAGAACTGTAACGCGTTTTTCGCTTCGTGTAGGGCTTGGCGGTATAAAATGTTCACTTCAGGTTGTCACTTATAGTATTAATATTAAGCATTTACCCTTAATATGCATTAAGCTTTTACTGTTACAGAATGTTGGCTGCTAAATTCGACGTATTTTAGAGCTTGATAACTGACGAGGTTTCCTAGGATGTTCATATTAGCAACCCAATTACCTATTTAAATTAGAATGAAAGCAAATCTCCAGTGATAACGGGTAACGATCGCTAGGCTCGTGAAATATAATTACGCTGGCAAAACGGAAATGCAGCCCTGGCAAGCCAAGTTAAGGCAGTTTTTTTCCAGGATTTACCATAGGTCACTCGTTATCAAAAACATATTGTATCATTTTTAACATTATCAGTGCATACGTCCAACATCTTCTGCGCTCGAGATTTCCGAACCGGAAGCGTGTTTCGAATTATAATGGGATAAAAACTGCAACAGTGTAGCTAAGAAAAGCGGCTCAACCCAATTGCTTTAAAACCCATCCTCACAATTAAAATTCGCTCTTCAGTTTGGTTGGTTCCAGATTCCCAAGATGACAGGTTTTAATAGTTTGGCAGTGAATCCTCTCATGGATTATGAGGGAGTCCATTCCTTCCACGCCTGTGTGAGTTTTGCAGGATGACTGTGGGCACTGTGGAAATGGGCGATGACCTTCCTTGCATGCTTGCCGTATGGTTATGGGAAATCATATGTAACTGCTTTTGATAAATTTTGTTGGCAATATATTGAGTGTCAGTCTAAACGTTTTCATACACAGAATTTGCATGGTTCATTTTGTTTCAAAATCTTCGAAGAGCAGGCACAACTTTTCGGTCTACATCATCGCTTTGTTGATTTTGTTCATACCTTGACGCACTTGCAACTTCCGACCAATGTCAAAGACATTAGTCGACATGTTAGAATCATCTGACGTGTCCTATATCTCATCCATGAAAAATATGAATTCAGGGCAGCCTTGATCTGTGCGCTAGGCAACCTTATGCTTCGGGAGGTACGTGCTCTTTAACAAAGTAGTCTATGGGAGATGAACCATCTTCCGCGGTCAACTGAAGCACCAATCGCGCGGGATTGTTTTGCTTGCAAACTTGCAAAACATACCTTGTGGGTCCCATGAAAAAAAATCCCATGAAAAAATATTGGTTAGTGAATTTTTCATGAGGTGAGTTATAAGAACTTCAAGACTGACTACTGCCCCCTCCCATAGTTCCCGCTTGGCTGCTTATGTAAACATAAGAACTTCTTGGTTTTAGTATTTTGAATCCGCAATAAAAAGTTACACCAGGAACGTTAAAAAAGAAGCAGCAGAAGGCACACAAGAATAATTTTTAAATTACAGGGGTGCTACGCCAAGTTCGGGCAGTTACGAAAATTCCTCTGCTTCTACCAGTTAAGTCTAATATTTTTAATTTATTCTTGCAAGATAGTTCTTATCCTGGACCACCTTAGGTAATTTTGTTTCTATGCAAAAAGCTGATGTACAAGGAATGCGAGCCGAATTTCTAATTTCATTTTTTGTGCAAAAATCTCACTGCTTAGTACGAAATAATCATGTACCTTCAACAAAAATTTAAAAATTGGTGGACATTGAGAACTGTGAGGTGTGAGCTGTATTTTCTAAGGGTCCTTCCCTACCTTCAGTTTAAACAATAAAATCTTCCCTAATGGGATCGGTGCTCCAGGCAACCGCATTCCCCTGTAGGTACTTTTTAACATACAAGTCTATGGGAAATGCATCTTGTTCCGAGGTCACTTCGAGCACTGATGGCGCAAGTCCCCATTGCCGACCCTTGAACGATACCTTCTGGGTCACTCAACAGTTTTCAAAATGGCTCGCGCAAGAATATTTGTTGGGACATTTTGAATCGGTCTAGTTCTAAGCCCCCGAAAAACTACCTTCACCCCCGCCTCTTATATTCCGCCTGGCCCCTTGCTGTCGAGTCAAATGATTAAAAATTTGACACTGTTAGATTCGCAAGAAAAAGTTACACTAGAAAAGTGAAGAAACGAAAACAAAATGGCGTACGGGAATATTTATAATTTATTTTATGCAACTTCCCCAACTTGGCTTGGCAGGGCTGTAGAATTATGATGATTTACTAAATCATAGTATGATTCAGTAAATCATGCGTACGATAGCTGCGTAGAGCGCGTACCCCAAATTGGTGTTCGGCCGCGCCCACCTGACCATTGCCAATGAAAATACATTTTAAGTATTCGCGCTACCTGCTCCGTATCTTAATAAAACAAAAATTTCTCTCGTATTTTATGGTAATTTGGGGTATTTTATGGTAATTTTAATTTTAAATTTTTTATTAAAAACATTCAAAAAAAGTCATTTCTTATGACAAATCAAGAAGAAAAGGAATGGTGACAGCACCCTATCATTTTGGCCACCATTCATTTTGGCCACCATTCATTTTGGCCACCATTCATTTTGGCCACCATTCATTTTGGCCACCATACATTTTGGCCACCATTCATTTTGGCCACTGATAATTTTGGCCAGCATCGGCTTGGCTTCTTCGATGTTTAATTTGGTACGGTTTATTTTTACAGGTTTTTAGTACGTATTGTAATTAATTGCATTATAATGACATTAAGAAAATTGAACATTCGTGATAAGTTGTATTCACGTAATCAGTTTTCATGTACAAATTGTACATAGCTTAATTAGCAGTAAAAAGAGCAGGGAACAAACGAAACTAACAGAAAGAGAAAGTAGAAATTATAAACACTACACATATAACATATACCCGCGGTACAGATATACGTATGAGTTATATGCGTGTAATGCAAAGAAAAGGGAACTTAAAGACAGCAATAAGTTTAAGTAGCAAAATATACAATAAATCGCACAGCAAAGGTTACAATGGTTCATCCCGTTTTCCTAGCAGTATTTCCAGGTTTGAAGCCACCGATCTCAAGTAGTCCGCACTGTCCATTTGTCCGTAGCTCGAAGCGACATTCTTAAGTCGTTTGGTGACCTCGACATACTTTTTCTTCTGCTTTGGTGCAGCACCTGCCATTCGCAGCGCAACTTCTGTTTGCTGGTGGACAATTTCCCGTGCCAGAAGGTCATGTAAAGCATATATGCCAGGATGGTCCTTATTCACAGCATCCGAAAATGTGCGATGCCACGCTTCGAGGCGGTTGGTAGTGCGATGCACATCGTCTTCCAGTCTATCCCAACAGCTCCAGAATTCAACTGGAAACAATGGTTTAGTGACGATGCATCTGTTCGATGGAATTACAAATGCGGTATGCCCAATGTATGTTGTTCGTAAGTAATCAATGAAAGGATCGCCTTGCTTGAACGGAAATTCTGGTATCTTTAACAGCTCTGCCAGAACGCGTTGAACATCTTTCACCGGAACAAATGCCAGGGCAAATAACATGCGACAAGACAGGCTAAATTCAGGGTCAGTTGCATAAGCAGGTCCCAGTCCCAAATTGACGAGTTTTCGGTACACGTTCTGCCCAAAATGAAAGTTGCAACCTGCAAATTAATTCAGTGCTAATGCGGTTGCGCTTTTATTAATAATTCATTATTACATTTTTGTGCACGATAGTAAATTTAAATTAAGCAGCATTTTTATGACTGTCTATAACTTAAAGCAACAATAAGTATCCTCGTATTTATTAATATGTTTGCCACTTATACCTCGTAATTTTGAATTTGGGAAAACCGTCCGAAATGCAATAATCGACGACTGTTCAAAATCCATGATCATATATTCAGGACCGAACGTTCCCTGTCCACCTTTTCCCACCAACTGGTCACGAATGATTTCGAAAAAACGGCGATATGTGAGTTCGCATTTATTTGGTAGTAATCCATAGACAAGAGGAGCCGTTGATCCGTATACATTGCCGTGAACAGTGTAAAGCTGCGTAAAGATAGGCGGGCTCACGCTGAACGGTCCATCACTTAACCAGACAGCAGACTTTGCAAGATTATCAAAGCATTTGGGATCACCAAAAACAATAATTCGGTGCTCATCTTCCCGTCCAGTATCGGCAATTAATATCGACTCCCCACGCGCATTTTCTTTCAAAAAATAACTGCCATCAATATCAGCCAGGGTGTTTACGCGTGTCCCAGGTACACCTGCAGCTTTTCTCTGGCGCACAATGGTTTGCGCAAGGGCATCGTAGGATGTCATTTGAACAGCCACAGTCAGCGGGATATCAGCGCGAACTTCATCAATTATCTGGCGAGGTCTTTCCAGTGTTGTGGCTGCACGGGCTTTCAGGACTTGCCTTGCAGAGTTCGCGTTGACCTTCACAACGTCGGGAGCGTGGGAATGATGGTCGCGCTCAGTGGCTTTGCCATTCACATAGAACAGACGGGCTTTACAACGAGTCTTATCTCTGCAACGCCAGGTTTGACACTGCTCCGTTTTAACATCAGCACGCTTCCACGCTTCGATATATTCGTACCCTTTATGGACCAAAACTTTCCCTTTACGGTTGGTAACAGAAAATGTTACTTCGGCCATTGTTTTTGCAGATAAGTATTACAATAAATGCAGAAATTAGAGAACGTTTTTTCTCTTCAGTTTTTTTGCAGTGCAGTTAATAATTATAAACTGAACGGTCGAGTCGGTTCGAATCACTTATCACGGCGATCACGTAGACTGATGTACAGCATCGAAATCGAACTCAACTGTCATCCGGCGCCTTTAACTGTTTACAGCTAACTTATTAACCCGTTTTAAATTCGAATCGCCTAATAATTGTACAGCATTAATACTGCGGATAATAAATTGCACTGTACTTAATGCGCTTATTTGCCATACAGTATATAATACGGTGCAGCAACGTAAGTTTCATAACACTTAACAATATCAGTTCATAATAACCAACAGAAAAAGCATAATACAGCGGCGGCATACACCTATTGACGAGTTAATATTGGTATACTGAGTACATAATTACTGGATACGGGTGGCCAAAATGAATGGTGGCCAAAATGTATGGTGGCCAAAATGAGCGGTGGCCAAAATGAATGGACACCGTATGATTCAGTAAATCATGCGTACGATAGCTGCGTAGAGCGCGTACCCCAAATTGGTGTTCGGCCGCGCCCACCTGACCATTGCCAATGAAAATACATTTTAAGTATTCGCGCTACCTGCTCCGTATCTCAATAAAACAAAAATTTCTCTCGTATTTTATGGTAATTTGGGGTATTTTATGGTAATTTTAATTTTAAATTTTTTATTAAAAACATTTAAAAAAAGTCATTTTTTATGACAAATCAAGAAGAAAAGGAATGGTGACAGCACAATATTATTCTATCGTACTATTCCCTCCTTCATAATGAAAAGAGTCTGGGTCAGTTTGGAGAGCGAGAACATGAAGAATGGCGTGAATACGTATTATGTGGTTGTAAAAATATAGATCTCAGCAGTCCTTATATCATCCCAGCCGTCACCCGTTTCTGAGGAGGGTATGCCTTCTGCATCAAAATTACAAGGGGACGAGCAAAAATTGATCGCATATTCCGTACGTCCAGTTTCGCTAACCACTTATTGACATGTATTATCGAAAATGACAATAAACCGGGAATCCAGTATCAAGGCAACAAAGCAGTGCTTGCGTAACAAATGGCATGATTTCTTTTAATCCAGTATCAAGTTGAATAGCAACTCACACGCTACCAAAGTACAAGTAATTCGATAATTTCACCCAAGTAAATCAATTATTTTCGATAATCTAAATACACCGAAGTAATTCGATAATTTCGGTCAAGAAATGATACCATGTATCATTATCACAGGATTTTCACCATCTGATATCATTGCCATCTCTCATGTTTCGATCATCGCCTGTTTGTTGACGTGAAACATAGTCGCAGCTCGTGATCCTATGTTTCCAATGTAGCGTGAATAACAGTTGCTGCTGATTGGTTATTTAAATTACAGGCGCTGCATTGCGTCGATGATGAGAATTTTGTGACCTAACGACCATCAGGAAAAAATTTGGGTTAAGAGCATAGGGAAAGAACCACGTTATCGCATTTAATCGATTCGTTTGTTGTCCTGTTAATGTTCTCGTCTGCACTCCTAAGAGAGCGCTCAAGTTCCAAATTTTTCTGACGAATTGATGGTTGTAGCTTTCCACTGCACAATCGGTGTGGCACTTCTGTTCCTTCATCATGAGTGGGATGACGAACAACAGCTCTGTTTCAAAAAATAATACTGAAATCTGCGGCGCAGTTGCCAATCGGCTAACATGGACATCCGACAATATGTCGTTATTATGTATTTTTTTCCTAACCTTTGCGCTGAATGGAGTTGTACTGGTCAATTACTTCAATAAAATTCGTCTGCTTAAGGATTTTCATGTCTATATTTTTGTGCTCCTTGGCTACAACTTTTTGTATGCTCTGTTTTTTGGACCACTGGAAATGGTCAACCACTTATATCCCAAGTGGTGCTGGGGATCGGATTTGTGCACAGTTCGCATTTATCTCGGGAATGTCCTGCCAATGTGCCATTTTTTTTCGCACACAGTTGTTGCTGTTAGCCGCTTTTGCGCGGTAATATTTCCGTTGCAATATCGGCAACACCACAACACACGGGTCGCCATTGCATTAAGCGTGCTCTGCTTTTCAGTTGCTCATTTGACTATCGTACCTGGGGTTATATTTGATGCGCTGCTCTACAGACAACCGGAAACGATAGCACGCTGCGTGTTGAACTTCAAAACGTCGTCGACACAGCGCGCTTGGCTTTATTTCGACGAAGCCCTGATAATCGTTCTAGTATTTATTGTTATAACTCAGTATCCAGTTTTTTTATACATTCGACGAAAGCGTTCAAAAACACAAAGGCGAATTCAACATTCCAACACGCGAAATAGGGGTAAAAACATATCTCTGACAAGCAGTCCAATTTGTTTTGCAATTTCTTTTGAGTAGTACCGTAGTTAATACGAGTGTTTAGTAGTAACTACAGTGCTTACGTTTGCAGGTGTTAACGTATCACAGCTTAACGCATCGTCGACACCATCAACTGATCACCAAGCGAAGTCGGCCTTCTTACTGCTAACCATATTGACCGCTAGTATTTTTGTTTGCTGGACACCAGTCATTATTTTCGTTCCACTGACAGCAGTTGTACATGATCAGGCGATCCTGTTCTGGATGTTCACATTGAACAGAATGCAGCCCATAGTAGATCCCATAATATTCGCCTTGGCGTTGCCGGAACTTCGTCGATTAATTTTTTGGCGACCTCACTGTTGAACCATAATGTTTGTTTGCTGCTAATGTTTCTGTTACTGAATTTTTGCTATAGTAACTTAAATACTGTTTTTTTCTAACGCGAGAATGGACACATTTTTCATTTGTTTACTTTCGCTCATGACCTCGTAACATCCGAGGAACACGTGAGCGGTGAGATAGACTGCAGCTAATGCCGGCTATCAAAGGATAATTACCGTAGAACTGTGACGCAAGTGGTTTCATGTAGCATTGTATCCGTTAGGTATTCGTGATTTCCTACAATTATACGAGTTCCGGACCGCCTAGAATATTTGTTCTGAAAGCACAGCAACGCTGCATTGGACCGGGTGAAAATTAGGTAATCCAAACATGAAGAATGGTGCTAAATTCTTAACTGGTTTCTGTGCTGTTGAAAATTTATGTGACTGGTGTAATTAATATGCAGACGTTTAAAACAATCATATAATACCAGCGCTTTTATCAAAACCGGTTCCTTAAGATAAGATGCTATCTGATGCTATCAAAATTCGATGGCAACGTAAAAAATTAAGCGCATAGTTCGTATAGCCGGTTGTGTAAACCCTTTATTGATATGTACTCACAAAATGTGAATAAACCGGGATTTCAAATCAACAAAACAAAGAAGCGCCTCCATAATAAATGGCATGGTTTCTATTTGACCAGCATAAAGTTGAACAACAGTGCAGAAGCATTCAAAACCACCGACGTAATTCGATAATTTCGGTCAAACCGGGTACTGAATAGAAACGACAGCATGTACATTTTATGTTATTGTTACATCGCATGTTTCATCATCGCTTGATTGTTGACGTGAAAAGCAGTCGAATCTGATGATCCAATCGTCGCCTGAACGGTGACGTGAAAAGCAGTTACATTGTGAGATAAGGTCTTCAATTTCAATTTGTAGTTAATAACTCTCTTCTTTCCAGATGCAGGGCTGTGTATACTGCACTTTGTGGCTTTTCATTGAGCATCCAACATCTGGCGCGCACCGCATCTCAGTAGGGAATACTTAGCTTTACCTTTTGGATCCTGCCGTTAACGTGTAGCATAGACAAAATAATATGAAATATTGACCGAAAGGTCACCACAGCGATTTAGCTAGGGTGTGTGCATGCGTAAATCCTGATTGGATTTTATAATCTAATTGGCATTGTTTTATTTTGGAAGCGTTGCACTGCGTCCAAGATGAGAATTGTGGGTTTTAACTGCCATCACAACAATATTTGGATTTAAGAGCACAGAGAAAGAAACATTGTATCGTTAATTTATCCGCTCATTCGTTGTTCCATGATACCGTCTGCACTCTTCAGACAGCGATGAAGTTCCAGTTTTGCTGACTTAGCTTCCCACTGCACGACTGCCAAATGGTGTGTCATTTCGGTTTCATAGCATTAGTGGAATGACGAACAACAGCTCAGTTTCAGGAAATACAACTGTAGTATTGGCGACCGTCGAAGTCAGTCGATTGGGGTGCGCACCGGACAATCGACTTACATGGACATCCGACAACATATCACTATTATGTATTGTTTTCCTGACCTTTGCGCTAAATGGAGTTGTACTGGCAAATTATCTCATTAAAATTCGTCTGCTTAAGGATTTTCATGTCTATGTGTTTGTGCTTCTGAGCTACAATTTTTTGTATGCTCTTTTTTTTGGACCCCTGGAAATGGTCAACCACTTATACCCTAAGTGGTGTTGGGGGTCGAATTGGTGTACAGTTCGCATTTATCTCGCGAATGCCATACCGATGTGCCAGTTTTTCTCTCACACTGTTGTCGCAGTTAGCCGCTGTTGGGCGGTGATATTTCCGTTGCACTATCGACAACACCACAACACCCGTATAGCAATGGCACTAAGCGGTGTCTGCCTTATAGCCGCTCACGTTACTATCGTACCGGGAGTCGTTATTGATGCGCTGCTTTACAGGCTACCGGAAAAGATAGCAGGCTGCGTGCTTAACTTCAAAACGGCATCCAACCAGCGCTATTGGCTTTATTTCGATGAAACTCTGATAATCCTTCTTGTACATATTTATCGTGCTAGCTCAATATCCTGTTGTCTTGGGCATTCGTCGGGAGCGCCTACGTCGGAAGCGTTCACAAAAACTTCGGCGAATTCGGTATTCCAACCAGCGCTGTATCGGTACGAAACTTTTTGTACATTGATTAAAATTGACATTGCCACTACTTATGTGACAGCAAACAGTAGGCATCTTTTTTCTTTCGCTGGTTCTGCTATGAT